GTTAGAAAACCAAAAGGGATGAACAAGCACAGTATTTCCCAAGCTGAAAGAATTAAAGAAAATATTCAAGCCTTGAATGCAATATTGAAGGATTCTACGGGCAAAATATTGAATGATGTAGGAAGCATCAAAAGAAGATGGAAAGGACAATAGTGAATAATTACTATCAGGACTGACTGTAAAGATAGACAATTTGTAGCAAAAGGAGGGGAGTGGTTGCCTTTGCAGTCCAGGAGCGGAGAGCCCTGGGACCTAATGGAGAAGAGTGGAGTGCAGGACCCTACTCAGAGAAACAGTGACGCCAGAGATGGAGGCAGAGATGATGATGTGGACAGATGGAGTGGCTGGGGACTCTAGACCCAGAGAGGGAGAGGGGCTGTGTGCTGACAACCAAGGGCAGGCTTGCGGGGTGTACCTTTTGGCTGGTTGATGATGCATGGAGGGGATTGTATCAAAGGCAATGAAACAGTATACGATAGGATGAATGTAAAGCTAATGTTCTCCCATGTACACTATCACATAATTCACAATAAAACATTAAAACAAAACAAAAAAAAGATGCAAAAAATACACAGACTTTGTACAAAAAAGAATTGGTTGATGTTTAACCATTTCAAGAGGTAACATATGATAAAGAACGGATGGCACTGAAGGAAGAAATTCAAGCTACACTGAAGACATTGGCAAAAACCAAGTCTCTAGGAATTTAGAGACTACAAATTGAAATAGTTCAACAAACTGATACAGCACTGGAGCCGCTGACTCATCAATGCCAAGAAACCTGGAAGACAGGTACCTGGTTAACCAATTGGAAGAGCTCCATATTTGTGCCCATTCCAAAGAAAGATAACTCAACAGAATGTGGAACTCATCAAACTATCATTGCTATCACATGCAAGTAAAATTCTGCTGAAATTAATTCAAAAAAGATTTCAGCAATACATCGACAGGAAGCTGCCAGAAATTCAAAGTAGATGCAGAAGTATACGTGGAACTAGGGATATAGTTATTGACTTAAAGGAGAGAATACCAGAAAGATGGATCTTGATCTAAAAGAAAGAATATGAAAAAGATGCTTACTTTTGAGAAGTGAAGGAAGTGGGAATCACTAACTAACGGGTGTTAGTTATTACTGTTGTTAAGTGCTGTCGAGTTGGTTCCAACTCATAGTGACCCTGTAAAGGGTTTCTGAGGAACAGCTGGTAGGTTTGAACTGCCAACCTTGTGGTTTGCAGTCCAGTGCTGATACTATATCGCCACACCAGGAGTCCTAACTAAAGGGTACACGCATATTAACTTGGGTGAGGGGGAAGACAATACACAATAAAGAAGAGGCCACCACAAAATCATCAAGGCAAAGGAATTGGGAGGACCAAAAGTTAAAAGTAACAGAGTTAAACACAATTACATGCACAGTCTTGTTACAACAGTAACAATAATCGACAAGCGTACATATTGTTGTGAAGTGCCGTTGCATCAGTTCCAACCCATAGAGACCCTGCACAGGGTTTCAAAGGAGCGACTGGTGAGCTTGAACCACTGAGCATGTACTTCAAACGGCTTTGCAGTCTGGCGCATTAACCCACAGCGCCACACCAGGACTGGCAATACAAATAAGTTGAACAAACGTGAGAAGGCATATAGGACTACACCCATGAAACTATATATGCTTAAAGGATACTTCTACATATGTATTTATATAAGCTGCAAATATACCCATGGATGTAAGAGAGCACACAGGGAGCAAAGTTAGAAAACTTCTTAGCCATAATCAAACACCTTGAGAGAATGAATCAATCACTTAGTCTGGGGGCTAAGGTCCATAGTCTTGGGGGTCATCATTATTAATTGGCACAATACAAACATCAGAAAAATGTCCTACATTCTACTTCAAATGCATAATGAGTGAGCTCTAAAAGCTTGTCAATGGCTACCTAAGGTAAACAAGTATTGTTCTTTCTCCATCTAAATAAAGAAGAGTGAGGAAAATCAAAGACACATGAAACAATTCCTACAAAGGACTCATGGACCACATGAATCTCAGCAGCTACAACCCTGAGATCTGACAGCCACTACTGACCACTGTGGAAGGGATCACATTAGAAGATTCAAGAAAAAAAGGGGAGAAAATTCAGAACAAAACACAAAGTCCTAAAAAAAAAAAAGATCAGACTGTCAGGTTAGATAGAGATAGGTGAAATCCTGAGACTACGGCCCTTACTTACACACTTCATTGCTGTTGTTAAGTGCTGTTGAGTTGGTTCCGACTCATAGTCAGACCCTGTGTAGCGTTTAGAAGGAGTGGCTGATGAGTTTGAACCACCAACCTTACAGTTCCAACAGACCTTGCAGGCTAGTGCTTATCCTATGGCACCATACCAGTCACCCTTCAAGCGTGGAAGTTTTTTTTGCTTAACTTTCAGCCAAACAACACACAGGTCTATAACAACACCATGTGAACAATAACACCAGGGAGGTAGCATTCTTAAAACAATTAACCATTTGAGATCAAAAGGGGAGCCTTTGCCCAGGGGCAAAGTTCAGAAGGTAGAAAGGGATAGGAAAGAAGGATGAATAGAAATGGGAAACACAGGGAGAGAGTAAGCAGGGAGCTGTTACATTGTGGGGATTCCAATCAATGTCATAAAACTAAACGTGTATGAATTGCTGAACAGAAAACTGATATGCTCTGTAAACTTCCACCCATGTCATAACAAAAAGTTTTTTAAAGTCTATAAATTATACAAGTATGTTCTGTTTTAAGTGATTCTGACGTAATCTGGAATCTACACTTACAAGATAAATTCAGTAAAGCGATGGTTTCCATCTGGTGGCATGGAAATTTGCGTAGTTGTGGTTAAAGTGCCGTGAGTCCATTCAGACTCATAGTGACCCTGTGTAGGGTTTCAAGGAGTGGCTGACGAGTTTGAACCACCGACCTTACTGTTCAAACTGACCTTATGGTACAGTGCATTATCCTACAGTGCTGTATGTAAATTTACAGTGACATTCAAACCGTGTCTAAAAGGACCCAGGAGTAAACAACCATTTTGTCTGGGATTTTCTCTCCTACAGTCCCCATATTGACTTGAGAGAGGGGCCTGTCAAATCTTCTGAACCCTTGGCATAGATTACTATTGTGTATTCCAGAAACAGTCTTGAGTGCAGAGGATTTCTCCTATTCCCCACTCAGCTACTTTTAAGTGTCTGGTGTAACAATTTAAAAAGAATTTAAAACTATTTTAAAGTGTTATGCCCAGAATTCGGGGTCCCCAAAGACCACCCAGGAGCCGTGTACCGATGCAAATACATAAGGGTTGTTTA